AAAAAAAAAAAAAAAAAAAAAAATGTAGGGCCGCGAAGGCCTTTGGGAAATGTAGTCCGGAGCAGGAAGCAGCGGAACGATTCGATTCTTCTCAGTTCCACGTTGCGCTCTCAATCTCAGAGCCGGGCTCGCGAGAGGCTGCTCCGGCAAAACCCGAGGCTGAGCCCCCTGCGCACAGGTGTGAGTCCTGAAACGCCGCGGTCGACTTCGCAGGACGCGCAAACAGGGAAACGGGTCCCGCCTGGGTGAGCCGCGGGGGCCTTTGGGAAGCGTCGCCCCTGGTCTAACGGACCGAGGCTTGTGGCGCTCTCAGGCACGGCCAGCGCCGTCCTCAGTGGCGCCTCGTCCCAGTCCGCGCCGGCTGTGCCACTTGGGCAGCGTTAGGTGTGGAGTCGGGGCCTGTGTCCGCGGGCTCTGTGGTGAGTCCTTGGGAAACCGCTAACTCTGAGTGCCGGACTCTTTGTGCTTGGTGGGAGTGGGGGCTCGCGGACCCAGTGCCCGAATTCTTTAGAAGAGGACGCCAGGCAGGGCGATGCCTGTGCCTGTGGCTGTTCCCTGAGCCCGTGGGAGTGGTGTGTGAAGGACTGTAAGTGTCTGGCGTGAAGTGACTGTCATTTGCCAGATATTTGTCTGGCTGAGTGTGGCCCCGGGATCGTGTCCGTAAGCGGATTTCGCCCTTTTATCTTTCAGTATGAACCTGCATGCAAACCTGCGTGACAGTGGATCTTGAATGAATGAAAAACTCTGGATGCAAGGTAGGGTGTGCTTGTGGGTGTAGATGTGAGACTTGGCGTTTGTACCAGTGCTGCATGTCTTTGGCTGTGGTCACTGGAAATATATTTTTATATGAAACATCGATAGCCCCAACACTTCATTGATTTTTGATTTTATTTTCGTGTATTAACTACGTTGTTTTGTGTACGTACTAAACTCATTCTCCTCGTCCCCTCCACCACATTTGGGGAGTGGAGTGGGTTGGTGAAAAGTACAGAAAAGCTCGAAGAACAAATATCATAGTTCTACCAGCCATGCAACCAGTTAAAATTTACTTTCCATCTTTTCACCCCCTCTTTTGTGAATACATACGTATACATTCATATGTTCCATATGTGTGCATAATGGCTTCAGAATTGCAGTCACACTTTACATACAGCTCTGTAACCGACCTTTCTCATTTAACAATAGATGATTAATATATTTACATTTAAACAATCACAAATTACACTTTTTTTTTTTTTTTTAAGACGGAGCCTTGCTCTGTGGCCCAGGCTGGAGTGCAGTCGTGCGATCTCGGCTCACTGCAATCTCTGCCTCCCAGCTTCAAGCCATTCTTCTGCCTCAGCCTCACGAGTAGCTGACGCTACAGGCACTTGCCACCTCACCCGGCTAATTTTTATGTTTTTAGTAGAGACAGGGTTTCCCCATATTGGCCAGGCTGCTCTGGAACTCCTGACCTCATGATCCGCCTGCCTCGGCCTCCCAAAGTGCTGGGATTACAGGCATCAGCAACCGCGCCCAGTCTATGCCTTCCTTTTAAACTGTATCATGGCATACGTTTACTCCTGCTGATGGGTGATTTAGTTCTCTCTAGCTTCTTGAAATTATAAACAGTGTGTTTATCAGCAACTATTTGGCACATTTTAATGTGCCTTTCTAAATTTTTTTGGAGTGGGAGCAGGCTCCTAAAAGTAGAATTGATAGGTCAAAATATATGCTCTTATTAAAGGTTTCCTGAACTTATCCAATTATTCTTCTGTGAAGTTCCAATAATCTGCAGTGTTATTGGCATAGTATAAGACTGCCTGTATCCTCATACACCCGTGATAACAATAAATATTGTAAATAGTAGTCATCTTTGTTAACTTCATGGCTATGAATTAATTAATTTGCTATAAAACAATTGTTTACTTATTGAAGTCAAGCATTTTAAAAAATCGTTTGTGAATTATTTGTTTTCTGAAGTAATATTCTGTTTTCAAATTTCTTTTCCAGAGTTCTTCGTACATTAAGGATTCATTCATTCATAGACTCATCACTTATTGAATGTTGTCTGTGTAACAGGCACAATTGTAGGTGCTCAGGATATACCAGTGAACAAGAGACTAACCCCCTACCATCATGGTACTTACATTTTTGTGGACCAGATAATAAACAAGGTAAGTAAATTAAATATGAAGTATATTAAATGGTGAAAAATACTAAGAAAAAATGTAAAGTGAGAGGATATTTATAATTAGTGATGGGAATATGAGTTTTAGATGGGCTAGCCAGGGAAGGCATCCTGAAAACGTGGTGATAAAGATATGAAGGAAGTAAAGGAGCTTTTTATACATAAGTGAAGAATGTTATTTCAGGCAGAGGGAAGAGTAGTTCTAAAGGCTCTGAGGTGGCAACTTGCCTATTATAATGAAGAGGCTGGTGTGGCTGAAATAGAGTAATGGAGGAGGGGAATAGTGGGAGAGAAGAAAGGTAAGTAGAGGGGAGGAGGGCAGATCAGATTGGGCTTTATGGCCCATAGTAATAATTATGGCTTTTCCTCTGAGATGGGAAGCTGCTGGAGGGTTTCTTGAGCATGGAAGTCATACTGTCTGCTTACGGTTTAAGAAGATTGCTTTGGCTGCTCTGATGAGAATGGCCTATGGGAGGAAGAATGAGGAAGGAGCAGGAAGGCTAAGGGAAGAATCATAGAGACCAGTTAGGAAACTACAATTGTTTTGCTTATTGATGGGTATACATTCTGCAGAACGCATGGTTAAGCCATTTTGTTCTTGTATAAACATCATGGAGCGTACTTACACAACCTAGATGGTATAGCCTCCTGCAAACCTAGGCTATATGGTACAACTTATTGTTCCGAGGCTACAAATCTGTACAGCATGTTACTGTACTGACTGCTATAGGCAGTTGTAACACAGGGGTAAGACTTAGTGTATCTAAACATATCTAAACACAGAAAAGATACAGTGAAAATGCTGTATAAGAGATTAGGCCGGGCG